GAGGGCCCCAAGGGTACCCCCTGCAAGTAACACCAAGAACTGATCCAGAAGAAGGGATCGTGACAAACGAAACTGCAGTCGAATCTCACGACGAAGAAACGTGATGAACTGAATCAAAAAGTTGGGCATCTGCCTGTCTTGATCTGAAAATGGAAATTGAAAGGGCGATCACCTTATGCCAAAGCAGTTGGGTCTCCTTGAAGAGAAGGAAGGACATAAAGAAGATGAAGTTGAACATTAGAAAACGCGAGACATAGGAATTTGAATGGTCCGTAACGTTCAACGAACTTCTGACATCATCAGGCTCTTTTCTATTCGGCCACAGACTGATGATTTTAATTGGCAGATCTTATCGATGCAAAGCTTCATCAACTTTCAACAAGTCGAGTCAGTAGTAAAGAAATGATCCTCGCAGTTGTGCTGCAATTAAGGAGATTGCACTGAAGAAGCCTGAAAAAGTTAGGCTTCAACGGGATTGGAACCCATTTCAACATGTGGACTGTAAGCGATTTTTATTTCCACTGTAATTTAGTTGTCATTCCATGTATTCGTTATTTTCTGTTTGGATCCTTCCTTAATACCAGCAATCAACAACTGAAGTAAGCTCAACTCTGAAGTAAACTCTCCACTAAGAAGTAGAAGCATAGATCGCGAGATATCGTTGCGAATGCGAAGAATCGTTGACAGTAGAAACAGCTTAAAATGAGAGATTTCTAATTGCGACTGACGATTCCTAATCGATCGGCAGATATATACATAGAAACTGACTGACAAACATCGATTAATACCGATTGATTTAGGCGACAATTAATTATCATAGATCGCGGGGAACAGACTTATAATACCTTTGGAAATCGCTGAGTACCTTTGTTTTGGTTTCTCCTAAACAGTCCCAGAATAGATCTAAGAGACAATTGCTCTATCCCGTCGACTAGAACTGCCTGACTGCCATCAGCACAGTCAGTGTTTTCAGCGCCCGCGTTGTTTTCAGCAGCATACTCCTCCCAACGCTCGGGTAAAGTACTAGTTGGTTCCTCAGAGCCCTTACACAATCCGCCAATGACATCCATGTAAAAATCTGCTGGGTTCACTCTCTCGGGCGTTTGAAATCCAATCATATCAAAGTAGTTTTCTGCCTCTGGTATACTTCCAAGGAAGACGGTTCGTCCGCCGGGCGCAAGAAAGAGAACTTTATGGAATTTACCTACAAAAAAAACGAAAAATGGAACACGACAATCAGAAAAAGGATTTGAATTATAAATTTTAGGTTACATGAATTTTGCCAATAGAGAAACAAATTATACCCAAAGAATCGTTTCGCTGATTCTGTCTCTACTCTTATTAAATATTAGAATCACAAAGTTATTTCTGTCTACGTTATGAGACGGCAAACAAATCAGAGTGCAAAAATTAAACTTGTTGCAATTTGCAATTCAGACTTACTGAATATTTCGTATCTTGGCTGATGAATGACGCAAACAATTGTCAGTTTCTTTTCTTCGGCTACGGCCTTTAACGCATCCACAACCATCAAACTTGAAGTACTGTCTAGACCGCTACAAGAGAAGCAACCAGGCAATGTAGAGTTCAATAAATCCAGAATGGAAGCACCTTAATGTCAAAGCCTTAGATTGCATAGTCAGGCAACTATGGTGGTAAAATGGGATGGCAAGGACTCCTGATATTTTGCCTTGTTGTGCCTTCAGTGGCTATGGATTCGAAATATCATCAACCATTTAATTACATTAAAGGACATCAAAAAGGAATATCTGTATCACATGCAACAACTCGCTAAAGAAGCTGAATTTTCTGTCCTACCTCGTCGGTTCATCAAGAAAAAGCAACGTCGGGTCAGTCACCAATTCCATTCCTATGTTGACGCGTTTCCTTTGCCCTCCAGAAATGCCTCTTGATTCCTAGTAAGATAGTTTAAAAAAAAAACAAACAAACAGAACAATTAGACAAGCAAATAAACAAAACTAGACTGCAACAGATAATCCTACGAAAATGACACTATCTACAAGACTCGAAAGAGCAATAGATAGAAGCTATACGAATTCGAAGCTGTGAAGCCGAGACGCTGTTTTCAACGGCCAGTTGCGGGCACACTAATTCTTTGTAATGGTGTCATGATAATATACTGAATACTTCAGAGTTGGTCCTCACACTGACAAACGTTTTCCTCTTTAGAAAGCCCATACCTCGTCTCCAATCTTTGTATTCTTGACGTGCGCCAAATCAAGAAGATCCAAGACCTGCCAAACCAAAAGGGTCAATTTCACTGTTTCAATTTTATTATTTAATTCAATGGTAAAGCGAGTTATGTAAAACGAGCTTACCTATACAGGTCTCTTATTAGCATTATTCAGTTCCAGTATTATACAATATTTTAATCGGTGACATACCTCGTTGACTTTTCTTTTCTTTTCTTCTTGAGAAATCGAGGATGGCAACCTGAGATTTGCTTGATAAATCAAAACCTCCTTTACTGTCAGTGTTCTGTGCATGATATCTTCCTGAAGGAAAAAGAGTACAAGTTGAATAGAGGCATATATTGTGGGTGGGCACAGGATTAACTCCTTACGCTTCCTGACACAGAAGTTTCCTTTTTAACCCTTGCTTTAAATCATATTCTGTTTCAGTCTAATTTCAAACACTGCAGCAATAGTCGAATTGTCCTAAGCATTTTATTATATACGACTTAAACCATCTCTTGACTAAATTATGCATTACGGTTGGCTTCTTTCTGTGGCTAAGACTTAAAAATTCTCACAAATGCTAACTTGTCAACGGTTTTTGGTCACTTCGCTCCATAGCTAGATCACTTCAAGTCACTTCGCTCCAACCAAAGTTGATCGATCCACAATAAAAGTTAGCTCTCTCCATACAGAAGTGACCTTGCTCCATGACATAATTCTGTGTTAAGAGTATATCGAGCTACTACGATTAGAATGAAAACCACGTATTAATGTGCGAGCGTTCAACCCACGCCTGATGTGCGCACTTATGTTAAGTCAAGCTTGTTTTTCGGCACAGGACGCGCGAACTCAACCTTTCAGACTTGTTTATTTGAGAAAGTTGAATGCTACCTTAACCGAGCTATTTGTGTTACCTTAAAAGTTTCTTTTTCACTCTAACATTAGTGAGCTTAAAACGTAACGCAATGAACTGTTTTGAGATTTCAAGTTTAACTTTAGCAATTAAAACTGTACTGTTGTTGATGTTTTCTTGTCCACGTAACACCCACGTGTTATGTGCGAACTTAAGGAGAGAGTTCAATGAT